GGCCGGGAAGGATCCATCGGACCTGTCCTTCGATTCGGGGAAAAAGAAGGACGTATTTGTCGGACGCATCGGAGGAGTCTTCCGTTTTGGACGTCCTTCGTCGCGGCGCTGTGACGTATGCGGCCGACAAATTCGACCTTCGGAGGACCCGTCCTGCCGTTTTGGACACAGCCATAGGTTTCCATTCTCAGCAGGTTTCTAAGGTTCTTCTTCTACGTATAAAAAAGGTTGTTAAACATTTTAGTGGCGCACTACTGCTACTAGTGGTGAGAAAGTGTTTTGCACCTTATTTAAAATCAATGCGGTCCTCTGTGGTCCAAAGTTAAAAACTGTTGTTGTTTTGAGGCCCTCAAGGTGGCGCTAGCGGCCCACAATTGGGCCGCGGCCCATAGGTTAAGAATCTCTGAGCTAGATCCCATCCAACCAGACTGTTTAAAGAAGCATTTCCTCTAATTAATACCCATATTTTAGATCTGCTTAATTTGTCTGTAATGAATGGTTATGTGCCTTTTTCAAAACCCAGTTTCATATTTATTTTACATTTTAGAGCCTGTAGGACATTAAAAAACATTAAATAACATCAAATAGCCATCTTCCAATCCGCTCTGCAGCTAGGAATAAGTTCTCCCCTCCTTTCCTGCTTTACGTTACAGGCGCTGTCCTCTGTGTGGTTGAAAGTYTGCCTGTCCCCCCACCTCGTGCGCCAGTAATACAGATTGAGGCTCATTATACAGGTAAAACGCCTGAAGGAGTTGACATGTATATGCATTATCAGAAGGAGAAAATAAAAACACCAACTTTAATGTGGCGTTACATTTCTGGAGTTAAGTGAGCAACAGGTAACAAAAACCTTTCTCAGGAGGAACCAAAGGAATAAATGAAAGTTACAGGATTTTTTAAAACTGACAATGGTAAATTTAACAGGGCASCCAATTTTGTTTCTATAAAAATTAAGAACCAACAACAAGCACACTTCAAGCTTTAATTGTCAATCAAGCACTTAATTAGAACATCAAACATCCAGCTAGATGTTGAATACCAGACATTTGAGGCAAATAACTTTTGAGGCATAAATTTGAGGCATGGTTGCTCAGTTGGTAGAGTCGATGGCTCTCAGCAAGAAGGTCGCTGGTTCAAATCCCAGCCCGGCGACCTTTCTGGGTAGAATTTGCATGTTCTCTCCGTGCAAGCGTGGATTCTCTCCGGTTACTCAGGCTTCCTCTCACAGACCAAAAACATGACTGTTAGGTTAACTGATAACTCTAAATTGTCCCTAGGTGTGAGTGAGAGAGTGAACGGTTGTTTGTCTTGTTTGTCTCTACCCTGTGATGAACTTGCGACCTGTCCAGGGTGTACCCCGCCCCTCGCACTGTGACTGCTGGATATGGGCACCAGTGACCCCCGTGACCCTGAAAGGAATAAGCTTGTACAGAAAATGGATAGTTAACTTAGTTTGGCAAGGTGTTAGCTTTCCTAATTCAGCGGAACGCCTGCGTGCTGTTTTTCTTTCGTTTTATTTTGTAATGTCATTTCTGTGTTTCTGTTCATCCTGTGTCAGTGTGCATTGCATCAAAATTGACGTCTAGGCCCTCCTCTTTCGATTGACACCTCATTTGACCAACTGGGTTCAAGTATCGGCTGTCCAGGGCCAATAATACATGAGAAGTGACCAAATTCCGGTTTCCGTCATCCTGGGCTTGATTGACTGTAGATTCGACCAGTCAGCTCCGAGCTTCGTTCTGATGCCACAGCTGTGTAGCCAATCACCGTACCTTTCATTTGGTATGTATATTGAAGGGGTGGGAACTTTGTTTAGTATTGGAGGTAGTAAACACAGCATAGGTTGCCATATTTATAAAGTCCTGCCACGCTAATGAAGGAAGCTAACGTTCACAGGAAAATGTTTTTTTTTTTCTATCGTTTTTTGGCCAGTTAGCTGACTAAACATGCTGATAAGATGAAAATATATTTGTTATTAAGTGTTTCGAGTGCTTCAAGACATGGAAGAGGGATTTTTGTGGCCAGGAGAAATAAAAAAAGTATGGATTAAAACACTTCCAGTCGGCCATTTTGAGTCGCTAATTTTGTCATATTTGAGGACAAATATGCATCAAATATGAGTGAAAAACAAATGTTTTTTCACTGCTGGTTGTTTTATAAGCTGTGTGGAATGTTAATACTTTGAACGAAATAAGGATGTATTGGTTTATTCTTGTGGTTTGGCTTGTTATTGGTGAAAATTTGGCTGAATGTACTCCAGTTGGTGTAAATATTTCTGAATATTAATATATATCTTTTAATTTAATCATGCTGTGAGTAAATATGGACGGTAGAATGTGTTTTGTGGGGGTTTTATCTTTAATTTGAGCCCAGAGTGAAGTCCAGGTGTTGAAATTAGAGCGTTTTAGACAAGTGTACAGTTTGGACGTATGGAAAAGAGTACAAATATGCAAATGAGACATGCTGGATTTTACTATGTCTCAGATATTCATATTTTATGCTACTGTTACCAAATTTGAACTGGTAATAGTTGGGAATTAATATTTTAGCCCCGTAATTATAGTTTATTAATATCTCATTCCCTTCATATTCTGTGATACTTTATTAATAAAAAAATTAAAATTTAGGGAGAAAAATATCTTGATTTTTCTGTATTTTACTTCAATATACTAAATACTAGTT